GCGCGTCGCTCTTCCGATCGACTCGTGCGGCTCCGAGCAGGACATGCGCCTCCGCCTCTACCGCGGCTGCCCGTGGGGCGCAGGCCAGCCGGCGGGCGAGCCCCTGTCGCCCCTGCTCGCCGACGGCGACTCGGCCACCCTCAAGGCATGCCGCGACCCGCTGGCCGCTGCGGCGGGTGCGGGCGGCGGCGGCGGCGGCGGCGGCGGCGGCGGCGGCGGCGGCGGCGGCGGCGGCGGCGGCGGCGGCGGGCGGCGCCTCGCCGGGCTGGACGGGTTCCTCTCTTCGGCCGCGCTGAACGGGAGCGAGCCGCTCGCGCCGGGCGACTATTGGCTGGTGCTCGACAGCGACGCCGAGGAGGCGGGCTTCGACGGCCAGTGGCAGCTGCGCGCGCAGTGCGCCTCGTCGGACGGCGAGCCGCTCACTTCGCCGACGCCCGCCGGCGCGCTCTCCGCGCGCGGCCTGCCGGTAGCCTCTCCGTGCGACTTGCCCGAGGGCGGCGGCTGCACGGCGTGCACCGGCCTCGACCGGTGCGGCTGGTGCGCCGACGCCGACGGGTACGGCGGGGCTTGCGTGGTTGGCGTCGTCGATGGGCCGCTCCTCGCCGCGTGCGGCGGGGATCGCGTGTGGCAGCCCTTTGAGGATAGCTGCGGCGTGCCGCCCAGCCCGAGCCCGTGGCCCGAGGATCAGGAAGTGTCGCCTTGGGCGTGGCGGAGCGCTAGCGAACCCGCGCCAGTCGCCGCCAACGGCTCCGCCGGCGCCGCCCCGTGGGCCGCCGGCCTCGCTGCCTTCGCCGCGCTCGCGCTTGCGCGGCGCCAAAGGCGCCGCGGCACCGCGCGCCCGATGGTCTGAGTGCTGAGAGGGTCTGGCTCGTTCCGCGCTGCACTGGCGAGATGAGCCCCGCTTCGGTCTTGACCGGGCGGTTTTGTCAAGGTATGGGTGTGTCGGTGTTTGCTGTTTTGCGCGCGCTTTTGCGGGGAGCGGCAACGGTGTGGATGATACTGTGTGTGGCTGGGTCCTTGGAGCCCTCCTGATAATGTGTGTATTAGAATTCTTTTGGCCCCTAAAAGAAAGAAAACCGCATTTGATTCCTGAAAGAAAGAAAACTGGATTGGATAATTCTTTTTCCCGCGGGGAAATTCTTTTTCTTGTGTGCCTGTGATAGTACTAGCACGCGCCAGTTCCCTCCTGTGTCGATGTCTGCTGTGACATAGACCGCGTCCAAATTCTTTTCCTGTGTTAGTGCCAGTGCGCGCCAGTCCCGTGCCCAGTGAAAAGCGACGGAGTTTTGTTGTAAACTTCTTTTTCTTCGGGCTCATTTGTCATTCACTCGCTTGATGCGCACGATGGCATTTCTGCTCGCCGCCTCCGCCACTGCGCTCGTGCTTTCGAAGCCTCCGCCAGGCGCTGCGATCGTGCTTGGAGCTGCGCCACTTCGTGTGCCGGCCGGGCGCCCGGTGCAGATGGGGCTGCTCGGCCGCGTCAAGAAGATCTTCGCCCGGCCCGAAGCTGGTTCAACCACGGCCGTGGATGTGACACCGGCCGCGTCTTCAGTCGCGGATGAGATTGCGAAACTCACATCCGTCACCAAGGCTGGCGCCACACAGTACCCGACCGCGGCTGACATTGAGGAGTACTGCCGCGACCCCGAGTCATCTGGCTGCGACATTGAGATGTGCTCTCCTTACGCCAGCCCGCGCCCTCTGCTGTGACATTGAGATGTGCACCCCTTACGCCAGCCCGCGCTCTCTGCTGTGACACTGAGATTGCCACTCCTTGCGCCAGCCCGCGCCCGTCTGTGTGCTGCGTGCCCACGCCGCGCCTTGCGCCTCAGGATCGAGAAGCTTATGGCCGAGGCCGCCAAGCTCAAGGAGGCCCAGGCCAAGGAGACGGCGGGCTACAACCAGATCCAGCTCAACTTCATGAAGCCCAAGCCGCTTCGGTGGAGCCCCGACGAGCAGGCGGTGCCGTCGGCGGAGTGACCCCACACACGGTGGCAGGGGCACGTCAGAGTGCCCCGCTGCATCTGCGTGACAGGGGCCACGCCCGGTGCCCCGTCGCGCCCTCCGCGGCGCAGCGGCAGGGCAGGTCTCGCCCCCCCCGGGCGTGTGGCGATAGCCGCAATGGCCGGCGGCTGTGCTCCGGCCTCTGGCTCTGCCGCTGTACGCGCGACTGTATTTTTGTGTGGAGAGACGAGACGCATGAATTTGGAAGAAAGCAATATCGCGTTACAACCCGCACGTGCCTCCGTTGTTGTTGCGACAGCGGATGACAGGGTGATGGAAGTGGGTCGACGCACCCCCGGAAGACTGGGCGGAGCAGAGAGGTCCCAGGAGCACGCTGCTGGGCCGCCCGAAGTGTTTCTTTTCTGCTCGTAGCCAGGCGATGGGTGCCACTAGCGAGGACGAGGGCTCCACGGGCGACGCCCTCGACATCGTTCTCTACCTCTTCGTCCTCGGTCCCGCCGTGGAGTGGTGCCTCAAGTCGCCCCGCGTCAACAGAGGCCGTCCCGGGTCGTGGCGCGGCGTCTCGCTCGCGGTGCTGCTGCTCGCGCTCGTGGCGGCGGGCAAGATGGCGTGGGAGTCTGGCACGCGGGAGCCGAACCACTTCGAGACGCTCGGGGTGCGCGTGGACGCGGGGACCGCCGAGATCAAGCGGGCGTACAAGACCGAGAGCCTCAAATACCATCCCGACAAGACAGACGACCCGGCAGCGCCGGCCATCTTCATGCGGATGCAGCGCGCGTACGAGACGCTCAAGGACCCGAGCTCGCGCGACGCGTACAACCGGTTCGGCGGCAAGAGCGGCGACGACGAGAGCGGCGGGATGACGGGTGCGGCGATGTTTTACGCCATCTGGCTCGTGCTCGGCTACTTGCTCACGATGGGGCGCGCCTCGGAGGACGCGCGGACGTGGGCCTTCTCTGGCCTGCTCGCCCTGGCCGTGGTGGAGTACCAGACGCGGGTCCTAAAATACGACTACCTCGCCATGGCGCGCACTCCCCGCTACTCCCGCCACTCCGCCGACACTCCGCCGACACTGCGCCGACACGCATGCGAGCGGCGCCCACTATGTTTGTGCGGCGTTGTGGTGCGGGCGCCGGGCACAGCTCGGGGGGGGGGCGGGCCTTGCGGGCGTGCACGGGCGGGCCGAGGCTCGCGGGCGCGTCCTCACGCTCTCCGCCCGGCCCGCAGGTGCTCCCGCACACGACCGTGCACGAGAAGCTCGAGCTGCTGCACCGGCTCTTCCCGCCCTTTCTGCACGGCTCGAGGATGATCTCGCAGGTCGTGTTTCGCGACATCGGTGCCTGTCTCCGCCGCGGGTGGGCGCCGCCCCCGCGCGGGGCCGAGGGCTGAGCCGGGGCTCGCGCCGCCTGTTAGGCGTCTACAACAAGATGCTTGTGGAGCAGATGCACGTGAAGGCGCCGCGGGGGGAGGGGCGGGGGGGAAGTTGCGTGGCGCTTGGGCGTGGGAGGAGCGGGACGCCCAACGGCACAGAAAGGGGGGAGCGAGGCGGAGGAGACGGCGCGCACGGCGCGAGAGGGCTCTCTGGCGAGGGGGGTCCGAGAGGCGGCGGAAGTGATGCGGGGAGGCCGCGCGCTGCCGACGGCGATCGCTCCGACTCTCCTCTGGTCCTTTGGCGGTGGCTCACTCGCCCCGCCACCTCCCCGCACCAGGTGGACGAGCTCGGGAAGCTCGCCTACGCGACCCAGCGCGAGATTGCCAAGCAGGGGATCGCGCGGCCGTCGGGTGTTGCCGCGCCGCTGGCCGCCGCTGCAGACGGCTTCGCCAAGCTGGGGGGGGAGAAGGCTGCCGACGCGGCGGTCGGCGCCGCGGCGCCCAGTGTTGCGCGAGCGTCCTCGGGCGCGGCGGTCGCCGGGGCGGGGGCCGAGAGCGCGGCGGACCAGGAGGCGGCGGCCAAGCAGGCGGCGGCGAGGGAGGCGGCGGCGGCGAGCCAGCAAAACAACCGGATGACGAACCTCATCCTGTTCTTCCTGGTGTACGCGGGGTTCAAATACGTAATGGACAAGGACTAGGGACGTGCCCCCGCGGAGAACGTCGTACGTTGGCCCGGCGGCGGCCGAGGAGGAGCGCTGTGAGTTGGTTGAGAGGCAAAGCTTGAGAGACGAGCGAGGCCAGCGAGGCGGGAACGAGCGCCGGAGCGGGGAGCGCGGCGCCGGCACTGGTTCGCATGCCGCATGGATACTTCCAGTTGTGAGAGAGTGCAGAGAGTATAATAGAAGCAAGTTCGAAGGTCCGACCCGCAAGGTCGCCCCCGGTCTCACTGACTCGCTCTACGGCTCTAGAGGCGCTAGAGTCGAAAGCCTGTGCCGCGTATACAGTAAAACTGGTAACTCGTGCCCACACAACGCCGCCACAGCGCGCATTGGCGGGGCACGGGGGCGCGGGTCTCGCTCGTCTGAGACGTGACTCGTCGCGCGTCGCGTCTGACGAGTGACGACGTCTCCGTCGAGGCACCGACGAGGGCTCACAGCTCTCCGCGACTTTTTGCCTTCTCGCTCTCTCGCCGACGGAGAGAGACAGAGAGCCCCATGCCCGTGAAGGGGCGCGTCCGCTTCGTCCTCTCTGTCGCCGAAGGGCCGAATATTTCAAGAAGGTGAGCAAGCATCAAACAATCAAGTGCCGGGTCGTGGAGAGAGAGCGATGGGGTGTGTGTAGACAGTACTCGTGAGAGTGGGCGTGAGACTTTTAGTGACACTGACAGCGTGTACTGCGTAGCCGTGTAGGCGAGGTGCGTTCAACCGTTCATGGGTGAGCGGAGTCACCCTCACCGAGGAGCGAGGACACAGCCGAGGGGCTTGCGCGGCCCAATTAGCGACGCACACGAGTTCACAAGCCTTCGACGAGAGAGTAAGGGAGTACAGAAAGTTGGCGCGAGATGCGAAACAGACGTATCGTCCATCGAGAACAGATGATCACTTCGCATCACTTGTCCGCAATCTTTCTCAACAGCGTTTGCTCGTAGTCTGGGTCCTGGCTCGCCTTGACCATCTGACCGGGGAAGCTCGCATTGAGTTTACCCAACGCCTCCTCCAGCTTTTTGTCGCCATTCTGCGCCCCCTGCGCCCGCACGAGCAGGCTCCGCCTCATGAAGTCAAGCCGGTGGTTCCCATTCTTTGCAAACGCGCCGGCAAGGGCCAGCAGCAACGCGCTGTGCACCTCCGCGTCAGTGGATCCGGGAGTGGCGGCCGGCGCGGACGCGGCCTGCGTCGGCAGCGGCAGCTCCGCCATGAGGTCGGCGAGGGTCGGGTAGTGGGTGCACTTTGCCAGCCCCTTGGCCAGCCCGGCGCGCGCGGCGGAGAGCGCCGGAAGGCTCGTCAGCCTCCGTCCGCCCACAAGAGTGCTCCGCGCCATCGTCAGCAGCCCGCCGCCGACCGCGACGGCGTTGGCACTCTCGTCGTCCGCGGCGGCAATGGAGCCGAGGGCGAGTGCGAGCGCCGCGCCCACGTGCTGCAGCGGGCGCGCATCGAGCAGCTCGCAAAAGGTTGCCACCGCGCCTCGCTCGATGGCGTCGGCAGCGGCCGCGGGCGACGCCTCGCAAAAGTGGCCGAGGCCGAGAGCGGCGGGCACTAGCGAGGAGGGACAGGAGCCGGCCGCCGACACGATCGTCGCCAGCGCCAGCGCCGGCGCGCCAAGGCCATGCAGCTTGTCCGAGAGCGGCTTCGACCGCCGCGCGAGTTGGCCGACGAGCGCTGCCGCGAAAGCGGACGTCTCTGTGTCGCCCGTGCCGAGGCAAGCGGTGACGTCGGCGGTGGCCTCCTGCTTGAACCATCCGAGCTCATCGAGGTGCTGCGCGCTCACAGCGAGCGCTCGGCACGCTTGCCGCCGGAGCACCGCGTCCCGGTGGCGAAGGCACGGGAGCACCTCTGGCAAGAGGCCCTCCCTCACTAGCGCGGAGGCGAGGTCGGTGTTGTGCTGGCCGATGCAGCCGAGGCAGGAGAGAGTGATGCGCCGCAGCGTCGCCGACGGCTCCTTGAGGCACAGCTTGAGCAGCGGCAGCGCCCCGCTCTCCACCACCTCCTTGGCGAGTGGAGCGCCGTGCCTCGCAATTGCGGCCAGGCACCAGACCGCGTCCGTCTTGATGGCCGGGTCGAGGGCCTCGACGCGCTCGCACAGCGGAGCAAGGGCGCCCAGGTCGACCAGCTCCCGCGCGGCCTCTGCCGAGGTGGACGCGCATGTGTACAACAGGAAGAGCGCCGCCCGCAGGAGGCCCGGTGCCGCGCCGAGCGCGACACGGCTTAGGGTGAGGCGAAGGTTCTCTGTCGTGCACAGCTGTTGGCAGAGCGCAAGGGACTGGCCGCACATCCTGCCCATTGCGATCATTGCGGTGCGTTGCACAGACGGCGCTGGGTCCATCAGCAGCGCTGTCACGTTTCCCCCCACCGTGTCCGAGGCCTCCAGCGCGGCAATCATCTTTTCGCTCGCATCCACCTCGTGCGAGGGCTGCTGGGCGCGGCCGGCCGAGGCGAGGCCCGCAACGCCCTGGGCGAAGTCGACGCGAGCCGCCTGGTAGGCCTCAAAGGGCGCGAGCACCGAGAGGGTCGCCTCGGGGGCGTGCATTGGTCAGCGGTTACGTTTAGGTACGTTTCGCGGGCCCTCGCGCCCCCCACTTTCGGAAGAATGCTACGAGCCAGACGACCCCCTACAGTATACCACATGCCCAGGAGCCGTACCCTCTCACGGCAAAGCTCATTCACGGTTTACATGCTCCTCAGCCGGATTATCGCTCCCAAGATCAAAGCCGGACCGTTGCAAGGTGTGCCATGAGGCGGTCGCCCCGAGCTCGGCGCACGCCTTCACGTCCACCTCGCAGTTCCGCCGGCACCGCTGCTTGACGAGGGAGGCGAGAAAGCCCGCAGCGAAGGAGTCGCCCGCGCCCGTCGTGTCGACGATGCTCTGCGGCTCGATCGGCCGCGCTGGGAAGGTTTGGACAGTGGTGGCCGGCTCGTCGCTTCCGTCAGCAGTGATGACGACGGCTGGGTTCGCGCCGTGCGTGATGACGACGATCGAGCCGCCCGCCGCCCGCCGCCCGCCGAGGAGGGTCGCTAGCTTTGACCCATGCGTCTTTGCCCTCACACACGCGTCCGGGTCGGCCGCAGGTGCGGCGGACCAGCCGCAAGAATCTGCCAGCGCGCCAAACTCGCTCTCGTTCCCAAAGCAGACCGAGACGCGGCCGGAGAGGACCGTGAGGAGGCCGTCCGTGAAGAGTGAGCCCTTGCACAGGAACTCAGCACCTGTGCACAGCTTTACCCGTTGAAGAGGGGCCGTTCACAGCTGCAGCTCAACAAGCGAGCCGCACTCAAGTTGGTGGCAACGACAGTGTTCGCCCCGGCGAGGTCAAAGGCGACGCGAGCGGTGCCGCCCATGACCGCGCAGAGCCAGCCAGTCAGGTAGGCCACCCTAGACTGGCGAAGCACAGGCCCGAACGCAACGCCCACCTCGTCAGCAGAGGTTGCCAGCCTCTTTAGCGCCGTGTCGTCATCGAAGACGATGATGCGGTCTCCGTTGGGCGGGACGAGGATGTGCGCCCCTCCCGTTGCACCCGTGCGAACGGGCAGGACAGAGTCCAATCCCTCCTCCCGCAGCACGTTGAGGAATATGGAGCCGCTCTCGTCCGTTCCCACCGCCGACAGGAAGCAGGAGCTATTCGCGTGGCTGAGCCAAGCGAACATTCGCAAGGTGTTGGCGCCGGAGCCGCCAGCCGAGATTTTGATTGAACATCCACCGGCGCGCAGCTTCTCGTGTAGGCCTTGCGCCGTGCCGGTCGAGAGCTCACGGGGGGAGGTCTGGTCCCCTGGTTCGAGCGCCACCCACCCGCCACGGCCGTCCCTTTTCTCGATCGAGGCGAGCACCGAGGTACTCACCTCAGCGACCTGATCAGTCATCGCAACACAGACCACCGCCAGGTCGACGGGCGTTGCGGCGCTCTGTTGCACCATGAGGGCCTCGTTGTTCGTCGTCGTTGACTCGGGCGTCCCACCCGATCCGCAAGATTTCTAGACGGCTCTCATACGCGTTTCAAACTCATGTGGCTGGGTCGACCGCGCCGACAGCTACGCTGCGCGCGCCTCTCTCGTAACTCTGCCGTCCCTTCGGCGATGCACTGCCCCGTGACAGCCGCCCAGCGTGGAGGGGAGACAGATCGGCCATGATGGTGGAGGACTACGACGAGAGAGAGCGGTTTGATCGCGTTTTGCATGAGCTCGACGAGACCAGGTGGAGTCGCTTCTCGCAGCATCTCACGCGCCGCTCCAGCAAAGACGCATTCGCCTGCGTGATGGATGAGCTCGAACGTGCATCAGCGGCCGATGCGTCCGCCTGGCCAAAGTATCGGGGATGCGGCTTCTCTTCGCACGCCGAGGCGAAGGCGAGCGCGCTGCCGCCGCCCCGATTTGGCTTCGATACCAAGGTTCGCATCAAAAAGAAATGGTTCAGCTCCGACTTCAATGTGGACAACTTGACCGTCGAGTTTGACGAGGATGGCGAGCCGAAGCCAGTTCGGTGGATGCTGATGGACGCGGTGGGAAAGAAGGGTGACACAACGCACGACTACTATCTCAAGTACCGAGCGATCGGCGACGACGCGAGCACGGTCCTTGGCTGCGCCAACCTCCAGCACCATCACGACTATATGTGGTTCAACGTCACCTACTCGCATCAGCACCGCGGCCACAGACCCCCAACTTTCGATCAGAGGCACCGTCGCTGGGAGGACTTCAAGGTGAATGCCGACTTTGTCGTCGCGCGCAGGGTGCGCTTCTACGAGGACCACGAGCAGCAAAGCCTGACGGGGCGGCTGGAAGTGGTTGGCCGTGGCCACTACACCCGGCATCTCCACACCGAGCGGTATCAACAGCGGCGCGAACGCCACACCGAGGAGAACGGGCACAAGCGCGTGGACGTGTACTGGACGCCAGAGTCTCGCACGCACGGCTTCACGCGCTGCAACCTCAAGGCCTTCGTCTACAAGCTGAGCATATACGGCACAGACTTCAACATAGCCTTTGACGAGAAGGCGTCGGGCAAGTGGTACAAGTCCAACAAGATGATCTTCAAGGCAAGCCACGCGAGCAGCGGCGCGCCTCTCTTCATGGCCACCAGCGATGGCGAGAAGAAGACCACAATCCAGACCTACAGCCACGGCGACCCAGTCAGCAGCATCCTCGCTGCTTTCTGTGTCAGTATCCGCCTCGACCCCAAGGAGCTGCACTCCACCTGCAAGTCGTATTGTAAGAAGCACATCTCCCTCCACGCGCCGACCGGCATCCGGGGCGGATTCGGGATGAACGACGTCGAATATGAGCAGCGCTTCATAGTGCCAGGGCGAGCCAGCGTTAGCGTCGCGCCGATGCCGCCTGTTGGTCACGCATACGGAGTGCCCGTGGCAGAGGCGCCGCCGCCGCCACCGCCGCTGGTGGTAGCCGAGCCGGTGGTGGCAGCCGAGCCGATGGTTGGCGGCATGGTGACGCCGTTCACGGTCATGCCGGGCGAGGCAGTCGCCTTCGAGCCGATCGTTGTGGACGCCATTGTGCTGCCTGCCATCACGGACGATGTCGCCGCCGCCCTTACAACCTATGAGGCCAAGGGCGACGGTCAAGGCAAGGCGGTTAGCGTCTCGGCCAGTGACGACGACGGTGATGGCGGCGACGATGACACGGACGGCGTCGGGGCGCGCGGATCGCAAGTTGTCGACAACGGCTCCTCTTCCGAAGACGAGAAGGCCTACTTCACTACGCGGGACTCTTGCTAGGGAGTCATAGAAGGGGGAGCAGTAGAGCGGTCTCCGTCTCACCGGGTGGCGTCGTGAGAGCTGCGTACGCGAGTACTAGTATGAACTCTCTCACTATCTCTCTCTCGTGTCTCGACACTCGCGGTGGACGCCCCCCGGCGCCTGGCGCGGCCCCGGCACGCGGCAGTCAGTGTGCCGCGCGCCAGCCCGCCAGCAAAGCCGTAAACACGGCCCTTTGCTACGGTGGAGCTGGAGGCGTGTGACTGTGAGGTGCGTGTGTGTGCTGTATGTGTGCGACACCGACAGGCGACACAACACTCAAGTCTCAAAACACGCATGCGCGTATTAAAAATTTTCAACTGACTTGTATCTTGTAAAAAAGCAAAATAGCCTCGGGTCGCTCGTGTCCAGGCCCGCCCGACTGTGCAAGCCGGGAGCTCTCGCTGAAGGCGAGAAAGCGAAAACCCATCACCCCGTTCTCGACGCGGCCTACGGTGAACGCCCTTGTCTCACTCAGGCCTGTCAACTGGGCCGATCGCGCGCGGCGGCCGCTCTCGCCCGCTTGTCCTTGCACACCCTCCACTTCTCGTTGGCCAAATCGAGGTCCTCCTCGTCGCCGTCGTCGTACTTGATGTGCACCCGCACGCCTGCACAGCGGCGGGAATCGAGTAGGCTACCTGGAGGGCGGTGAATGGGCGCTGCTGGGGCCGGGCAACGGCCGCACCGTCCGACGCGACGCCGCTCAGCCGACCCGCGAACCAAGTCTTGTCGAGCGGCCACCAGACCTCGATTCGCTCGCCCTGCCAGTCAACAGCCGCCAGCGAAGGCGCCTCCCCGGCCGAAGCCTGCGCCGGGGGCGACGGCGCCGCCCGCTGGCGCGGCTGGCGAGCCGCGGCTGCCGGCGGCGCGCCGCTATCCACAGCCTGCCCCTGCGCTGCTTGGCCCTGCCCGGCTGCAGCCTGCCACGCCTGGGCGAGGCGGTGGCCCGGCGTTGGCGGCAGCTGCGCCGGCGCCGGCACCGAGGCGTAGCCCTGCACCATCCCCGCCCCTTGCACCATCCCCGCCCCTTGCACCATCCCCGCCCCTTGCACCAGCCCGGGCTGTGCGAACGCCGTCTGCATCGGCTGCGCATACGCGACCGGCTGCGCCAGCCCGGGTTGCACTGGGGTGGCAGCAACGGGCATGCCCATGGGTTGCGCCGCCACCGGCTGTGCTGGCACGGCCTGCGCCGCCACCGGCTGTGCGTGCGGCGCCGCAAAAGGGTGCTGCGGCGCGAGGCCGCCACACACCGGCGCACCGAGAGGCGCGGCATAGACTGCGCCGCCGCACGCCCCTGCGCCGACGGGAATTGGCACCGCGTTCGCCACCGGGAGCCCCGCCCCCAGCCGGCTCATTGCCGCCGCCGCCGCGCCCGCAGCAACAGCCTCCACCGCCGCAGCGGGCGGCGGCGCGAACGGCGTGGGCTCGGCCGGCGGCGGCGGCGGCGCAGCTTGGTGGACGAGCTCGACGACATGCGCCTCTGCGTTCTTCTCGAGCGCGTCGAGGTTATACCCCCCCTCGAGGAGGGAGAGGAGCCGGCCGCCGCAGTGCCGCTTCGCGAGCGCCGCGGCGCGCGCAGTGAGGGCGGTGTAGGTTTCGACCTCGAGCCGGATGAAGCCGGACAGGTCGGGCGCGTCGTCGCGGTGCGCCTGCGGACGCGTCCGAGGCGGGTCCGGAGGCAGGCTCGGGGAGAGGGGCGGGGTCGGCCTCGTCGGCGCGGCGCGCGTCGAAGCCGCACGAGAGGAGGAGCAAGTCGGGGCGGAAGGCGTCGATCGCGGGGACGACGTAGCGGTCGAAGGCGGCGAGGTACTCGTCGGGAGGCGTGCCTGCGGTGCAAGAGGGCCGCGTCTCGAGCATGCGCGTGCGGTCCGGGAGGGCCGCGAGCGACGGCGCCGCACCGCGCGCGAGCGGCACGTTGACCAGCGTCGGCTCGAGCTGGAGTGCCGTCCCCGTCTCCGGGTAAAAGAACTGCTCTGCGCCGTGCAGGGAGGCGTAGAGCACGTTGTCGCAGCCCCACGAGCGCACGATCTCCTCGGTGCCGTTGCCGTGGTGCAAGTCCCAGTCGATGATGGCGACGCGGCGCACCGCGGCGGCATGCTGCAGCAGGGCGTACTTGGCGGCGATGGCCACATTGTTGAGCAGGCAGAAGCCTTGGCCGCACCGGTCCTTGATCAGCGGCGTCGGCGAGCTCGCGCGCTCGGTCGACGCGTCCGACGTTGAGCCGACCGAGCTCTGCTTCTGGAGCGGCGGCTGGAGCGGCGGCTTGAGCGGCGGCGGCTTGGGCGGCTTTGGCTTGCCGAGCTGCTTGCCCTCCTCCTCCTCCTCGAGCCGGCGCGGCGGGTGGTGCGACCTGCGCGCGCGCCCCGCCGGCACAGGCTTGCCGTCGCCGTTGGCGCCGTCCGAGGGCGCGCCGGCCGTCGGGCTCTCCGCCTCCGCCGCGGCCGGCTTCGGGCTCCCCGCCCCCTGGCTCCCCGCCCCCTGGCTCCCCGCCCCCGGGCTCTCTGCGCTCCGCGGCCGGCCGCCGACACGGCGCTTCGGGCTCTCCTCCAGCGGCAGGTCAGCAGCCTCGGTGGAGCCGCGGACGGTGGTGCCGTGGACGCCCGCGTGGTGCCCCGGAGGCCGGACCACGCAGAAGGCGTTCACCGCCTCGCCCTGCACGATCGCGT